TGTAACCCAATGGGGGAGTTCTCAGCAGATACCAACCCTGCAGGCAGCTTCATCTTGGACTTCCAGTGTCCAAAACTTTGAGCAAATAAATTTCTGTTGTTTAAGCTACCCCAGCCTAGGGGATTTTGTTATGGCTCTCTAAGCAGACTGATACATGTTCATTCACCTTGTTGTACAACAGAGCTCCAGAAGTTTCTCATCTTGCAGCACTGAAACTATAACCATTAAATAACTCCCTGTTCTTCCTGCTCCCCAGCTCCAGCAATCTCTGTTCTATTTTGTTTCTATGAATTGACTACTTTAGATACCTCATATATGTGGAAACACAGAGTATTTGTGTGTGTTGGGGGGATGGGCTTATTTCATTTATCATAACCTCTTCCAGGTTCCTCCATGTTGTAGAGTGTGACCCAATTTTCTTCCTTTTTAAGATTGAATAATATCCCATTTTATGTTAGACCACATTTTGTCTCTGTTGTCTTCTTTTTAAGGGCATCAAAATTAGCTCGTCGGGACAGCTAAATTACTGGTAGATCTTTTTGGTTCTGTCAGGCTTTACTTATTTTTTTTTCTCTGTTCACAATGGTCAACACTACATCACATTGGGTCTCTAATCAGCTGTCGGCCCTGCTGGAGGCCATCTCAGTGGGGAGGGGGCTGCTAGGGGCTTGTCCTCTGCCTGTGCAGCCTAGCTCTTAGCCAAGGAGCGTGGTGAATTCCCATACTGTTTTTTGGATACGGCTCTCTGCAGTCTTTTGTCAGTTACCCTGCCCTGCAAACCCCAGGCACATAAACAGCTCAAAACTTGCACCTGCCTCCTGAGCTTGGTGAGACTGCTGCTCTTAGAATTCAGTTTCCTGCCAAGATGGGATCGGGAGGGAGACAAACCATAAGAGACTATTAATCTCACAAAACAAACTGAGGGTTGCTGGGGGTAGGGGTGTAGGGAGAGGGTGGTGGGGTTATGAACATTGGGGAGGGTATGTACTATGGTGAGTGCTGTGAAGTGTGTAAACCTGGCGATTCACAGACCTGTACCCCTGGGGCTAATAGTATGTTATATGTTTATAAAAAAATAAAAAAATTATTTAAAAAAAAAAAAAGAATTCAGTTTCCTGCTTTGGGCCAGAAAGTGACCCTGGGTAGTATAATGCCAGGGTGATGCTGGTGCTCACCTTTGCGTGTTTCATTCTCTCAGGGATTGCTGTGCTGCCTGTACTTCTGTGCCTGAAAACAGTTGCTTATGTATTTTGTCATATATAGTTCTTTTTTTCTTTTTTTTTAAGAATTTATTTAGTCATTACAGAGAGAGAGCACAAGCAGGGGGAGTAGCAGGCAGAGGGAGAAACAGGCTCCCTACAGAGCAAGGAGCCCGATGCAGGACTTGATCCCAGGACTCCGGGATCATGACCTGAGCTAAAGGCAGAGGCTTCAACTAAGCCACCCAGCCATCCCCATATATAGTTTTTTGGTTGAAGAGCAAATCCAGTCTTAAGACAGATGGTGGGAAGCAGTACTATACTAGGTTTTTTGTTTTTTTGTTTTTTTTTTAAACTTTTATTATTATTTTTAAAGTAATCTCTGGGGGGCTCAAAGCCCCTCAAAGGGGCTCAAACTCATGACCCTGAGATCATGAGTCGCATGCTCTACCGACTGAGCAGCCAGATGCTCCGGAGTTCTACTAGTTTTTATTAGTATGCTCTCCCTGCTTTTCATCTCTTTCCTGTCTTGAACTTACGTAGATTTTAATTCTGTTTCTGTTTTCCTTACTTTAACTACTTATTAACGTTTCACCTACTAGAAATACATTATTCACCCTTTAGTATGTATTTATTTAATTTGTTCTCCTTATAGCTGTCTTTGCATATAAAAATAAAGGAACAGGGGCGCCTAGGTGGCTCAGTGGTTTAAAGCCTCTGCCTTCAGCTCAGGTCATGGTCCCCAGGTTCTGGGACCGAGCCCCGCATCAGGCTCTCTGCTTGGCTGGGAGCCTGCTTCCCTTCCTCTCTCTCTGCCTGTCTCTCTGCCTACTTGTGATCTTTGTCTGTCAAATAAATAAGTAAAAACTTAAAAAAAAATAAAGGAACAAGGAGAGAAAATTTAATGGAATTTCTGACCCAATGAAGTGTAAAGATTAGAACACAATCGGGAAGATATTTGGGGGAATGTAGGAGTACAGCACATTCACAAAACATATATCGGGGAAATAGTTCATTTTTCCCATGATGCCAGGCACATGCAACCAACAGTCAATTTCTCTTGTCATATATCACTAACCAAAAGCTCTAAGAAATGATGAAAACGGTCCCATTTGGCATGCATCTATTTTCTCAAAAGGAAACAAAGCAAATATAAAATCTGAGATAAATTCATAGCTAAGAACACTGTCATTTTTATTCCAGTTTCTATAATTGAAATTGCTGGACTTCAGAGCAACTTTTCCTTGTTAAATAGACTGAGTGAGGTGGGAATCAATATGCATTTAATGAATATCTAGAGAGAGTGCTGAGGCAGAAAAAAAATCATAGTTTAGAATATTAATTTCTATTTATTTATTTATTTATTAAAGATTTTATTCATTTATTTGAGAGAGAGAGAGAGAATGAGAGAGAGAGAGCATGAGAAGGGGAAGGTTCAGAGGGAGAAGCAGACTCCCTTCCAAGCAGGGAGCCTGATGTGGGACTGGATCCCAGGATTCCAGGATCATGACCTGAACCGAAGGCAGTCGCTTAACCAACTGAGCCATCCAGGCTCCCCTAGAATATTAATTTCTTAATCAGCTGCAGATTTTGAGCCATTTCCTGAAAAACTGCTTCTGTCTTTATCATACTGGGCCATTTAAAAAAAAAAAAAAAAACCCAACTTGAAAACCTTCAAATTTCCTGCTCGCGGTTGAGACATCGGGTTGTTCCCTCACTGACATGTGTCTCTTCACACTTCTGTAATTTTACTCTCTCAACTGAATGCGAATATTAGATGAAGATAATGGACAATGTTATTTATTCTACATTTCCATTGTCTACTGAACCTCAAACCCAGAATGATTGCAGACCACAGCAAAAAGGTGAGTTAATCAAGTTAGTGTGCAAAACAATGCACAGTGCCCATAGACTAAGAGATGAATGGAAGGTAGAATAAGTTTGGAGTAGAGGATGCAGAAAAATGATGGTAATTTGAAGGAATACATCTGGTTCAGTTTGAAGTCCAGACTGGGGGTATGAAAATCTGGTATACAGTCATGGATCTGCTCTTAGTTCTTAGGTAAAGTCTTTTCTAACTGTTCACTTCTAAGGTCTCATCTATGAAACCCAAGCTAAGGCTGTTTAAATTCTAAATATCTCTGTTTTTCTGATTTTGAAATCGGGAGAAAGACACCAGTAACTTTGCTAATGGATAATAGTAAGAGTTTGTCAGAAAAGGAACTGATTCACGTTCTCTAGGTTCCCCTCCCACAGTACTGTACGAGAGTGTGACGGGAGTAGGAAGAAGGCATTACGAATATTACAAATAAGTATTCCCAGTGACTCTTTGGGGATTTGAGGATGAAAAAGATATTTTTACATGGAGCCCTGAAAAAACGCTTTCTGGGATAGACACATTATAGTATAAGAGCCAAAATTAATATTTGTTTTTTTATCTTAGGCAATACACTCCCATAAAGTAATTCTTTAGGGCGACTTCATCAGCTTTCTCTCTTCTGCTACATAATCTTATTATTATAATTTTTAGTGTTGTTCTTTGAAAGCAATACTATAATTCGCTACATCATTCTAGTACATTTGGACATTTATTTATTTCCATTACTCCAATTTATATGGCATTGGATATTTTCATTTATATGTAGATTTCTTTTGGTTTAAATCTGTACCAATTTCTAAGGAATAGGAACGTTAAGTTAAAGGAATTGATATTCTAAAGTTTAAGGGTGGGGTCACACAGGTGGTGGTAAGTTGGAACTTGAATATAATTATTTTGATTTCTAGGCAAGTAGTTTTTTATTTATATACAGTCCACATTGCCCATTCTTGTTTGCTGCCAGTATGCTCATTTCTACCCCAGCTTTCCAGGGTACTATATTTGGGAAAAGGAAAATAGACTAGGAGCTTTAAAATTACATTAAAAATCTCTTTACAAAATTATTACATGTTTGTTATGGAAAATAGGGAACATATGAAAGCAGATAAAAGAAAATAAAAATCACTAATAATTTTACAACAATGTGGTGATTATTACTGTTACTATTTTGTCTATTTTTGCCTGTCTATGCAATGTACTGTATGTACTCTACTAAAAGCCTTTTAATATGTATATTTCTAAAGTAAATTTTAAAAAAATTTAAAATCTCACGAATTGTGGCTGCACAAATGCAATTAAGTTTTGGTACCTCTTTTCATTTCGCGTAACATCTAAAATAATTTATTTCATTAAATATTTTACTATAGTGAAAATGTATTTTCTTTCTTTTTTTTTTTTTTTTTTTAAGATTTTATTTATTTATTTGTCAGAGCGAGAGCTCACAAGCAGGGGGAGCGGCAGGCAGAGGGAGAAGCAGGCCCCTCACTGAGCAAGGAGCCTGATGCAGGACCGATCCCAGTACTCTGGGATCACAACCAACCAGAAGGTAGATGCTTAACCAACTGAGCCATCCAGGTGTCCCAAGAAAAAAGTATTCTTAACTCGATAAATATAGGATGTTTCCTGATAAAGATGTGGGTTGTCACTCTAGACTTTAGAGCAAATCCCTAATATCTAGCAAGGAAACTTTTAGGGCCTAGGTCTCAGTTCTCACTAGGCCAAATTTGTTGAAGACTCCAGATATCCTTTGCCTTTTCTTGTCCTTCAACTTTATTCTAACTCAGGATTTTGTTTTGGATTCTCTTCTTGCAGTTTCTTCTTCCAGGCTCCCTCTCTCACACCAGGTGGCAATAGGTTTGGGACTTCTGAACATCATTTTTGTATGTCTCCTGCTTGTCCAATGGATTCACTGCCAGGGTAAGTATTAACTTAAGTCAAAATCTTTTGTTTTGCCTCTTAAAAAAAAAAAAAAGTTTACTTATTTAAGTAAACTCTACACTCAGTGTGGGGCTCGAACTCATGACCTGAGATCAAGAGTTGCATGCTCTTCTGACAGAACCAGCCCAGTATCCCTAATTTACCTATATTGTGTTATAAAAGCAATATAATATAACAGAAAATTTGAAAAATGAAAATGCCAACGAAATAAACCATCACTTGTACACAACATTTCCTGACTGTCACCTCCTAGTCTTTGACTACATGCATTTGTAGAAGTATTTGTTCTTTTAACAAAGACTATCAAGTCCTCTAAAATCTTCCCCACCTTTTTTTTTAAGGTAAGACTAGGTATAGTTCTAATCATTGGATGCTTAATAATTCATATATTGCTTTTTAATTATATTATGTCATAAACACTTTCCTAATACCATATTTATTATGATAATAAAGTTAAAATTGTACTATTTATGTATTGTATTTAACTTTTCACATAATAGATATATCAAATTTTAATTAAATATATTCTGATTTTTTTTCAACTAGAGTGCTTTCACAATGTTTGAAGTGAAATTTTCTAGATTTAATTCTTCTAGGTCATTAACTATGATGATCCAGAAAGCCCTCGGTTTATTGTTTCACAATCCAGAGTCGTGACTTAAGTTTATGTTACCTGAAGATGATTGTTAGTGACAGATGATTGTTTTACAGACTTTATTCATTAGGACTCTAATCCTAACCTAAGGGTTCAGCCCTAGGACCTCTACCTCAGACCCAAATCCTTTGACAGAAAGAGACTTCAAGAAAGTTGGGAATTTCTCATTCAGGCTGGGTAATGTCACAGTTGTATGGAAAAAGCATAAATTTATAAAGTGCCAACTTTGTAGCTTAATCTCCAGAACCCTATATCGGTCCCCTGTCAAGCCACAGAAAAGCTGCCTAATTTTGACATTTTTAAAAAAAGACTACCTTTGCTTTTTAACCCCCAAATCTAGATTAGGTATATAACCTATTATGCAGTCATATATCCACATGTGCTCATTTGCTATAATGGCTCCTGTGTGCCTGTTGTGAAATTGTGCCTGTGAGGAGTTTATACAAATATGTTTTTTTTTTTTAATTTATTTTTTTTTAAAGATTTTATTTATTTATTTGTTAGAGAGAGAGAGAGCATGAGCACAGGCAGACAGAGTGGCAGGCAGAGGCAGAGGGAGAAGCAGGCTCCCCGCTGAGCAAGGAGCCCGATGTGGGACTCGATCCCAGGATGCTGGGATCATGACCCGAGCCGAAGGCAGCCGCTTAACCAACTGAGCCACCCAGGCGTCCCACAAATATGTTTTATGAAAGCAGAAAATCAATAGAATTATGGAATCTTGGCTGAAATGACCTTGAAAGCTTATTAGGTTTCCTTTCATTTTCACAGAACTATAATCCACCCAGTTTTAAAAAAAGATTTTAGTTATTTGTTTGAGAGATAGAGTGAGCACAAGGCAGGGAGAGGGACAGAGGGAGAGGGAGAGGCAGACTTCCTGTTGAGCAGGGACCTCAACATGGAGCTTATTCCCAGGACCCCAAGATCATGACCTGAGCTGAAGACAGATGTTTAAGGCAGACATTTAACTGACTGAGCCATGGAGGCACCCCCTCTCCACTTTTAAAAGATATAATCTGGCCATTTTAACCTTTTAAAAAAAAATTATTTATTTATTTATTTGACAGACGGAGATCACGAGTAGACAGAGAGGCAGAGAGAGAGGGAAGCAGACTCCCCGCTGAGCAAAAAGCCAGATGTGGGGTTCAATCCTAGGACCCTGAGATCATGACCTGAGCCGAAGGCAGAGGCTTAACCCACTGAGTCACCCAGGTGCCCCTAATCTGGCCATTTTAAAGGAGTGAGAATGTTCTGTATTTAAAAGAGCCCTGTGAAGAAATTACATCACTTCTGACTTCAGCATCTGATATCTTTCTCTGTCAGAAACTTTTCTTCGATAAATTATTTTTGCTGAAGTGTAAGTCTTTTATCTAATATCTAATGATGACAATCACATTTGTGATAAATGATAAAACACTTTAGTTAAGTTTGCTTTTTCTAGTTTCTGTCCTTTTCTTCTGCATTATCATGTGGTATCAGGTTAAGGTTGGACATTTTGGAAGATTTGGCCTGATTTCAGCGATGTATATTACGCAGTTACACAGTGTGTGCACTAAAACTACATAGACAATGGACAGATACATATAATGCAGATGCTTAGTTATTTTATCTGGTATGAATACAGCAGATGTGCATAAGGATCTCTAGCACAAGTGATGTACTCTGTCCACGGTCCTCCGCCAGGCTGTATCCATTTCTTTACCTGCTTTAGTCCTAGTCACATGCTTCAGTGGTGGAACGCACAGGAGTAGTGAGAGAGCTGGACATCATGAAGATTTTAATTCGAGGCCAGGCATTGTTGTGCCTTTCTCTAAACCTCAGTCTGAAAAGTGGTGGGGCAGGGAAGACGGGGCAACCGCCATGCTCTATTTATCTCCCATTTCATTTCCAAGACTGAGTGGTCCATAAAGATGTGAACCAGGTCCTCTTCCTTTCCAGGTTCCAGTCGTACCAGTTGTGCCAGTTGTTGCGGTTGTCCAGACCTCTTTATGAAGAATGGTAACTACTGTTATTACTTCTCAATGGAGAAAAAAGACTGGAAATCTAGCCTGGAATTCTGCCTGGCTAAAGATTCACATCTCCTTGAATTCACAGACCGACAGGAAATGGTAAACATAAACATTTAGCAGATGGTTGTTTTGTTGGTGAATGCTGTTCCAATGTATTGTGTATTCTCTTTTGAGGAACAAAAGGAACACTCTTCTCCTTCCCTATCCTTCTCTCTCCTCTTTCCCTTCCTTCCTCCCCCTCTACCCCTGCTCCTTCCCTCCTTCCTACTCCTTACTCTTTCTCTGCTTGACCCAGCAGCCCTCAGGTATGGAAACCTAGATGTTTGCATACTCCTGTATGTGTGTCTATGTGTGTGCTGGAGGTGGAAGGATGGTGACTATTACAGATAGGAATTAGGCCTGAAATACAGGTCTAATGAAAAGAAAGCATTAGAGCATGAAACATACGGGTCCAACAACAAGGAGATAGCAGATTCCTGTGCAACAGCTGGTGGAATTTGGGAGGGAGCAGAAGAGAGATAATCATAGGAACAAAGAGACTGTAGCAAGGGCTTCAGTGACTTTTTCAGTGATTTCCCTTCACTTATTGGAATCCAGTAAGTTCTAGGCTAGGAAACATTTGGGTTGAGGAGTAGGGCATGAGGAGGAAGCAGTTCCAGAGAGCTGGAAAAGAAGAAAGGAAAGTTGTGTGTGTGTGTGTGAGAGAGAGAGAGAGAGAGAGAGAGAGAGAGATCATACTCTCCTTGCAGGGCTAATCTGGTGGGCTCCACTTCCTATACGCCTCTCAGATCATTCCTGTCCATCCAGCAGTCTCTTGGAGGAGAGCTCTTTATTAATCCTAGAGCATCTCAAGGAATTGATATCCTGAGATAACCTGGTACAAAAATCAAATTCTAACTTGTCAGTGTAAATAATGTATACAAAGAAAATAAATCCTAGTTAGGTTTTTAGTGCTAATTTCATGTTGATTTTTTGTGTGTTGATATTGTTTTACGTGTTCTCTTTTCGGTAGAATTAAGTCATAGAGAACGGTTTATTAAGAATTAAACTATAACTTGTTATTTGCAATGACGTGGTTGGAACTAAAGGGTATTATACTAAGCAAAATAAGTCAATCAGAGGAAGACAATTATCCTATGGTCTCACTGATACGTGGAATTTGAGAAACAAGGCAGAGGATCATAGGGGTAGAGAGGAAAAAATATAACAAGATGAAACCAGAAAGGGAGACAAATCATAAGAGACTCTTAATCCCAGGAAACAAACTGAGGGTTGCTGGAAGGGAGGCAGGCAGGGGGCTGGGGTGGCTGGGTGATGGACATTGGGGTGGGTATGTGCTATGGTGAGCTCTGTGAATTGTGTAAGACTGATGAATCACAGGCCTGTACCCCTGAAACAAATAATACATTATACGTTAATAATAATAATAAAAAAGAGAAGGATAAGGAAGGAAAAAAAAAAAAGAAACTATAACGATCATAACAACATTGTATGGTGACAGATGTTAACTACTTTTGTAGCATTGTGTACCCAGAGTTTTCCACACTACATTCTACATCTGAAACTAATGTAACATTGTGTGTCAACTATACTTCAATTAAAAAAAAAAAACTCAATTATATTAACAATCTTTGGGGAAATTCAGAGAAGTAACTACTCTAAAGCTGATGAGGAGAACATATAGTCCCTAATTGTAACTTTCTATTTTAAGAAAAGATTAAAGCATCTAGATTTCTTGTTTTCTGTTGAAAGAGGAATAGTCATTCCTTTGAAATTCTTTTTTTTCCCCCTAAAGATTTATTTATTTATTTGACAGAGACACAGCAAGAGGGAACACAAGTAGGGGGAATGGGGGAGAGGAAGCAGGCTTCCCGCTGAGCAGGGAGCCCAATGCAGGGCTCAATCCCAGAAGCCTGGAATCATGACCTGAGCCGAAGGCAGACACTTGACTAAGGCACCCAGGTGCCCCCATTCCTTTGAAATTCTGCATAGAATCGAATTCCAAATCAGTCTGTCCCTGTTACTTCCTTTTCTTTTATGCCTTCCCTAAACTAGATGATAAGATGCATTGGGATCTATTCGTTAGATATGTGAGATCTTGGTTTTGTGGCATCTGATCATAATAGCCTTGCTTTCTGGACCATTTGCAGCAACTTCTGTTCTCACTCTGATATATCTGCGTCTGAAGACTTGAGCTGACCAAGGTCAATAGCAGAAGTGAGCCAAGAGCTTGAAACATTGCAGGAACCATGCTTGATAAACAGAGTAGTGAGTCGTAATGCGAGACAATGCCAGAGGCAGTGTGGTGTAGCAGCTATTATTACAAATGAGGCTGTGTGCTAATAAGAAGGGAGGAGGACAGGGGCTAATGCTCAGAATATCTGGGGCTTGGGATATTTCTGATTCTCAGCGCTTCCCCAAAGGAATGGAGTGGTATTAGAGGGATTTTTGTCTGTCTTTCTTTACTTTCCCTGAGTCTTTCCTCTGCTGTCGAGTAAGCTGAACAGAGTTAGTTTGGCTGCATTTCCAAAACCTGTTTATTTTCTTATAAGGCCCCTTGGTTCAAGGTGATGCCGGAGAGGGTAGAATGCCCCTGAGAGATTTAATAGCAGTCAGATGGGTTTCGCTTCTGACCTTCCTAGGGAATTTTGCTGGATTCTCGGGTCTAATTCTTTTTCTTGCCCCCAGCTTTTGTCAGATTCTATAGCACTGGCTTGACTTCTGTCTGATCTGCTGAGCCTCCTGTACTAGCGACATTATTCTTTTGTTCTCAAGGCAAGATTTATATTCTATTTTAAGGTATGCCTGATATTTCTAGTGTCATACTTTGGACTAAACAGCTGCTAGAGGAGCATACGGGTCTATTAAGGTGGAAAGTTTTCAAACTGGGACTCCACTGGTGGAGAACACTTCTAGAGAATTAGTTTGCTATATGCAAAGGCCAACCTTTTAAAGTCACTCACAGAAATATTGTACTTGATGGCTTCCAGATACATCTTGCACATGCTGAAAACTGAGATGACTTTTCCCATTAATTGTCTGCTGTGCTTTTTTATTCATGTTTAAGAAATTATTTGAAGTTGAAATCTGGAATGTACCTTATAGGATTTAAATCTATTTAAAGTAGTGAGATGCTTATTATCTTTTTTTCTATCTTGGACTTAAATATTTATTTTATTTTTGAGAAAATAATAAAATGGAAATTGAATCACTCCGTTATTTCTTCAGTTTTCTGTTTACATGATGGCATTGACTCTGTTTTTTTCTTGCTCTTTTGAATTTATCTTTAGATCTTTAGGTATATTCAAGTTCTTGATTTTTGTTGCCATGTTTTTCTGTTAGGCTCAGTTCATTTAGGATGTTAGCATTTGCTTTTAGGGTTTTTTTTGTTGTTTTGTTTTGGGTTTTTTTTAGCCGCACCCTCCGCTAGCTCACAAGAACCAGCCCCTTGCGGCTCTGCCCTTCTCTTAACCTTTGCTATAGTTGTTGGTAAGTTATCTTAAAATACACCCTTGTTGATCAGAAAGTTCCCCATGGGGACGCCTGGGTGGCTCAGTTGGTTAAGCAGCTGCCTTCAGCTCAGGTCATGATCCCAGCGTCCTGGGATCGAGTCCCACATCGGGCTCCTTGTTCTGTGGGGAGCCTGCTTCTCCCTCTGCCTCTGCCTGCCACTCTGCCTGCCACTCTGTCTGCCTGTGCTCGCTCTCTCTCTCTCTGACAAATAAATAAATAAAATCTTTAAAAAAAAAACAAACCAGTGTTGTTTGTTTAAAAAAAAAAAAAAAAAGAAAGAAAGTTCCCCATGGAAATACTTTGGTTTCTTTAAAGCTATTCCAATGCTCCTCACCCTGTGACATCTTTCTTCCTTATCATAATCATTATATCACCAGGCTCTTGTTTTAACAACCTCTCATTCAGCCTTAACCCTCTTCCCTGTCAGAGTTTATGACTTTGGGATTATCCCTATCTTACTCCTGAACTTTTGATATTGGCTTTTCTTTGTTTTTCGGATTTACATCTAAACATAATCAGGGCTTCCTTCTTTGGATACTACAATACAAACACTATGGTAAGGTGGTCACTTTCCCCCATATTTTAAGTAACAGAAAGGGCTTTTTTTGGTGTCTTTGAGATAGTCACAAGTTGGTTTTTACTACCTAGCTTTACTAGCTATGTGAACTCGAGAAATTTTCTTACCCTCTGTGACTCTCAGTTTCCTCAGGTATGAAGTAGAGAAAGTTCTTTCCAGAATTATTATGATATTAAATGAGAAAATCTGTGTGGAATTTCCTTTAACATATAGGAATCACTTAATTTTAGTTTTTCTTCTTTTCCACTTTAATTCTCCTTGTCACTCAAAATGAAGCTTAGAGTCAAAATAACTTGCTTTTCTCTTATGTCTCCCAAGATGTGAAATTTCAACAAATATGTATCACAAAATAAATTATGACTTGTCGAAAGCATTTTTGTTATGAGGATATCTGAAATATGTTAGAAGATTCAAAGAAATGCCTGGAAACAAAGGGTGATGGTAGGAGAACTGTTGAACTCTGGAGTTGTTATAGGCTGATAATGTCTATGTTTTTGTCACCCTTCCCTCATAAACAGAACGAGCAGCAGCTGTGACCTTCACACAAAAATTGTAGGTGTGGTAGATAGGTTAAGATATCTCTCAGTATCTTTTTTTTGGTTAACATTTTACAGAATTGTGGTAAAATATATGCAAAACATAAAATGTACCGTTTTAACAATTTTCAAGTGTACAATTAAGTGGCATTAAGTATAGTCACATTGTTTTTCAACTGTCACCACTGTTTCTCTCCAGAACTTTTTCTTCATCCCAAACCAAAACTCTGTACTCATTAAACACTTAACTCCCCATTCCCTCTTCCCCCAACCCCTGGTAACCACTGTTCTACTTTTTGTGTCTCTGCATTTGCCCATTACGTCCTTTTGTATCTGGCTTATCTCACTGACCATGTTTTCAAGGTCCATTCATGCTGTAACACGTATCAGAATTTCATTCCTTTCTATGGCTGAATAATAGTCAATTACATGGATATATCACATTGTGTTTATCCATTCATTTGTCAATGGAA